AGTACTGCAATTTATCCAGCCATTTCCCAGTCTATATTTGTAAATACAGTTATTCTGTCCCAAGTGCAGGACTTTAAACTTGTCCTTGCTGAATTTCACCTAGTTGACTGTAGACCATTTCTCCAGTCTGTTCAGGTCATTCTGGGTCCTAACCCTGCCTTCCAGAGTGTCTGCAACTCTGCCCAATTTCGTGTCATCTGCAAATTAGCTAAGTATGTACTTAATCCCATCATCCAAACCATTAATGAAGATATTAAATAATGCCGGGCCCAGGACAGAACCCTGTGGAATCCTTCTTGATACCTCCTCCCAAATGGGCATGATGTAGGTTTTACATTTTAGAACAGACTAATATGCCTCATGGTATGATCTGTGCTGCTGCTTCAATGAGCAGTGTCCCATTGCTGTTTTTATACATTTGCCTGGCTCTTCCCTGTGTTGCTCCTAGTAATAATCTTAAATTCATATCCTAGGACATGCCCCAGTTAATTTCACAGGCAGATATAGAGTAACAATAGCATCAGATACAACCTCAGATGACAGCCAGCTATATCATTCAAGTGGTAGTTTGTAGCACTAGTTGTCAACTCGTGGTGCAGATAGATATTGCAGGCTGTAACATGTTAGATCCTAACTAATACTGGCTGCTGTTCACAATACTTACCCTGTCTTAGAGCCTTTACCCTGGATGCATTGCTTTTGCAGCCACCACTTCTTTCTTCCTCCCCTTCACCAACTGTTTAGTTGGTAAACTTGGATTTAGAATATAGGAGGCTGGGGATGTGTAAAGACTATCACTGTATGTTACCCAAGCAATACATGCATGGAACTGTGGTGTGCTGTTGCCATCATAACTTAGGTCATAAATACCTTAACTACCATTTCTCACCTTCCATTCCAGTCTGACAGCATGAGTGGCCAGGGAAGGGCAACTATTTGTCTCTGCCTTGCTGATACAGACCAGTAGAGAACTGCTTCATGACTGCATTATTTTGCACTATAACACTGATATAGTTTGATACATTTATTTACTATAGATAATAAATATACTAATACATCAATACAAATGCTTTTGTCTGCAGGTACTATTGTGAACATTACATGTGTACATGAGGTAACATGGATATCTATGTCTCTGTTGGTTAAGGTGATCACCATGGTGTAAGTGGAGCATGTCATAAGCATGCGAGTTTTCAGTATAGAATTATCCCCAAAATATACCCGTCCAAAATAGTATAACAGTGATCTCCATGAAAACTCACCTTGCCATCAGCTGAGTATGAGCCCAACTGGATTTCTATTTGGTACATAAAGGGCTCACAGAATCACAGCCAGGTACATAATTATAGTCTCTGTGTTGTTGCCCTTATGCCTCAACAGACGCTACTAGATGTGTTAGGGGAAGCACTGTTTGCTAGCGTAGCACAGAATAGTGTATTTACTACCTCTGGGCTCCCATGCACACTAGGTTACAACTGAGTACAATCTTTTACCCAAACTCTGGCAGATGCTTTGTTGCTTCCAGACTCTGCTGTGAAATATAGGTCATATGTCAAAGGGATGCATCATAAATGCCAACTTTTATGTCAGTGTTAAATTATCATTCCAAGTATCTAAATGTGTCCTTGAGAGGTAAGAATTCTTGTAGGTGATATCTTTCATTGGACAAATAACACAGTTGTGATAGACATAGCTTTTGGGTATGAGTGCACCCTTCTCAGGCCTCACGGGACACATTTTGGACCCATTCATGTTACTGACATTTAGGTTTTTTCACATTCACACTTTTTATGTGCATTGCATTGCTAAACCACTGTAGGTAGTTAATTATTCTAACAGGTTTATAATTATTTTATGAATCATATGCTGGGGTAGGGTGAGCACAGATGTCAGGAAAGCACAAACACTTTAGTCTTTCTACTTCTATTTGGTGTGCAATAACAACAGTTGTCTACAACAAAGCTTCTATAAGATCAGTACCGTTTATTTGTAATGCTGTTCTTAGCACAGAACCTCCGTGTTTCTGTATGGTTGCTCAGCATAGACTGTCTGCTCTGGTAGCACACTTTCCCCTTGCATAGCATGTAAATGTGTGCTGAGAATGGGAGCGGGGGATATCAGAGCAGCCAGGAAAGAATCAGAAGCCTGGAAATGTCTGGTTCCTTACTAGGATGTTACAGACTTTCTTTGTTAACTTGAGGAAATGTATCTATGCTTCGCTTACCTCATCTGTAAAAGGAAGATGATAAAACTCACTTACACCAGAGGTGGGAGGGCAGTCTGAAATTAATTTCTATTTTGTGAAGATGGGCCATCTGGGCATCATCATTTGCTTGCTAGATTTCTCAAGCTAGCACCTTTCTCACCAGCTGTCCCTCACGGTTGGGGAGACTCCTCTGTAAATTTGTGTTTACGGGGTGGATGCGGGGCTGTGGGGGGGGGGGGGGGGGGGGT